TTGCAGTCTTGGGCTGAAGGGGATACAGAGTATCTGCAGCAACTTCACTGATGGTGTGAAAAAATCCCTCTGGGCTTCCTGGGTTTGACCACCTAGTCAAACAAACCATTATGATATTTTGCACAATAAATTGTGGCTCCTCTTGTTCCCTGAATTTTGCTGAACTGGACTTGTTGCCGTTGTTGACATCTTCCTCCCATCGAGGAGTGAGTCCACTGCTACTGCCTAAATGATGAGAGCTGCGTCCCATCTGACTTTTGGGGCTGGTAGGTCCTCTGCCTGAGCGGAACCACAGTGTCCTGCAGGTGCTGCTGTCCCACCCCTGCTGGGGACACAACCAGGAGCCCCTTCGCTGTGTGCACAGTGCGTCCCAGGACAGGAGTAGTGCTGCAGTGGATGGGTGTTCATACAGTGCGTTCACTGAGAACGTGTGTGTGCTCCCCCAGTATTTGTGATGCTGCTGCCTTTCATAGGGAGTGAATGATCTGCAGTTGGGGAGCTGATAAGGGTTAGTTTCAGTGGCTGTGCAGGCTTTGAGAAGGCTTAGAGTTAACTAGGCGGTAGCTAGTAAGTTTGAGGGCTTTCTTTTGCCCTTTCCAACCACCTTCTCTTCCTGGTCTCGCAGGCATAACGCCTCTCATATCCCTTGTGGTTGTATGGCTTCTACTATTGCAGCATTAAGGAAACACTCACTGAGCTCGGAGCGAATTAATTCTATAATAGGATAGTCCCAGGTTGCTCAGAGTAGTTCAGCTACCTATTCCTGAAAGCAAAGGATTGCTTAATTAGAGGAAGGTTGGCAGCATCTAGTTTTATGCCACTTTGAAAAAAACTATATCTCCTTGCCTTCTCCCCCTGCTTTTTCCCCTTCATATCTCCCTTAGTGCAAAGTAAACCCAGCTGCACACCTGGGCAGAGAACACTCTCCTCATTCTGCCTGTGCCAAGTCAGGGCCGTTAAAATGGGGCTGTTTTGAGTAGAAGTACATAAATAGGTCAGGGAAAGCAGACATGCATACTTTGGCATAAGATAGAAGAGCAGTTTGAGGAAATGCTTTAGTCTGATTTCCCTCCTCTCCATCCTTCCCAAGATACTTTCAGGAGTTTGTCAACGTGGCTTCGGCATTTATGAGCTTAAATTTCTGCAGCCTTCAAAACTTACCTTCAAGATTCTCTCAAAGGTCTTGGGCCTAAAGGTTAAGTTAAAAGCTGAGGCCTGCTTTCCGCTGTAGACACAGATCAGCTGGCACGGGTTCCCTGGGAGGACGTAGGACTGGGGGTCTCGAGGAAACACAGCAGCTTTTGCAGGGAGGCACCCTGCTGTGCTTCTCCAAACCACAGGCAAAGAAACCCCCTGTTCTTTGCTGTTTTACTAATTAATAGAAGCTGGGCTCTTGTGTTTTGAGTGGCCGATGGTAGTTCTTCAGAGGTGAGCAGATTGATCCAGGCTGGTGGCGTTTGGGGCAGGGTTGATGCTTTTGAGGAGCATTGCTGTAGACGGTAGGACAGAACTACACCCCTCTTGAGTCGCTCAGTGTACCTTAACTTTCAAACAGTCTGCACGGTGGATCCACCAAGCAAAAGTTCTATTCTTGGTTGCAATAGTGTTATTGAGTTTTTGTTTTTTTTTTTTCTTTTTTCAAAGTTTGGATATATAGTTTTATGCTCCCAGGTTCTTGTGGTGGATCAGTATCTGGTGCAAGCTGGTAAATCCAAGGCAGCTGTAGAAGCAGCCACCTTTGTTATCACTTGTAAGAGACAGCTACCCCCAGAATCAGAAAAGGCACCTTCTTGTCCTGGATAAAACTGCTTAAAGTGCCCTGAATTACGTTTTGGATCAAGTAGATGAACTAGTTTAACTTCAGGGAGGCTGTCAGCCTGGAGAGCCGTGAAGCTGTGCTTCTTGTGGGGGTAAGTCAGAGTGAGCCCGCAGGAGCCAGCTCTCCAGGAGAAGCAACTCTGGCTGTTGGCTTATGGTGCGGTTTCTAAGTTTAGTTTTCCAACGGGCTCGGGTCCCTAATGGATTCAAATGGTTATTTTAATTAGTGAGAACATCTATCACTGCCGCTGCTCTCCTGCAGCTGTTCCTAGCCATGTAGCAAAGCATGTGGGTAGCAGCCTCCAAGCGTTAGAAACGGCCCTGTGTTGGGCCTGGTTCAGCCTTGCTCTTCGGATTGCTGGCTGCAGTTACTGAAGTTGTGGTAGCAATTAGCTCAGGGGTGCGTTGGACAGAGACAGAAAGAGACTTACTTATTTGTAAATGAAACTTCAGCTTTCAAAGCCCATCCGTCCTGTTAGTACAGGAAGAAGTGGGGCGAAATAAACAAAAGTGGCAAGTGCACTGTAACTGGGATGGCTCTTCTGTTGCTGCCTTTGTCCTTTTATCTCCTGATTCGATGGAGATGTGTCCTGCAGTGTCACCAGATGGGGCTTTTCTGTGCAGTGCTCAGGGCCATGAGAAGGTCACTCTACCAGCACCTTCCCAGTCAAAGGGCTGGTTCTTCGGCATTGCCGTTGCTTGACTTTGATGTGGATCAACTCCACTGGAAGGTAAATAAGAAGTGTTTATGTCATTAGGCGCAGGCTTTATAGGATCAGACTATTTTAACCTGTGCTCTGGTTAGGATGAAAGAAGCCTGAGTTTACCACTAACAAATTTTAATGATGTCATCCCAGTATACTAGGGAGCATGGAGCAGGAGATGAAAAAAGTTGTGGTTTAAACAGCCATCACACTTATCCTTGCAGAAGCCATAGGGCCTTTGCCTTTGAAGATGTCACAACATCTGCTTGCAGATTGGAGGACATGAACTTGACTGTCCTTTTTGTGCCACCTGTTGACGAAAATGAAATGTAGAGAAACTATTTGCTGGCCTTATTACTGCTCTTCTGCTGTGGCTTCTCAACACTGTTGGTCGGTGCTATAGGAACAGAGGTCACAACTGGAAGAGCCTGGATTAAATTTGAGAGTTTATATTTACTGACTCAGGCTGATATTTGGAGATAAAAGGACAGCTCTAGGGATCTCCTGCCCAGCTGCCTCCTGGCAACTTGCCTCTTTCTCTTTGCAAGAAGAAAATGTTAATGCAAATGGGTGTGCTTGTGTGCAGTTTGGCAGAACCTAGCATGATGGGAAACCATGCTGGCTGAAGCATGTTTTCCTGAAGAGCCTAGTGCACGATGTCCTCTGCAATCTGCAAGTCTGTAGAGTAGAGGCTGTAGTTGGACTGAGTTTCATCTGCCTGTACTGTGCACCCCGTTGTCTTCATGCTCCTTTCCGTATTGAGCTGTCACGTGAAGCCATACAAGAGGTTTAGGTGCAGAAAGGGGAACGTGTGCCTGAGCCCTGTCGCCTGCTGTCACGAGCACTGCTTTGTAGGAGGGGCTGTGGATCTGTAGCGTCATGGGGATTGTGAGAGCCTGCTAGGAGCAGGAGGCAGTGGAGTGAGGTGGAGCCCAGGGTGAAAGAAGTGGTGCTGGAGCAGCTGTCTGTCAGCAGGCCTGGGTCAGCTTTGGGTCAGAGGCAGTGATAATAACTCGTAGCAGCAGCAGCAGGTTTCCATGCTTTTGGTGTCCTTTGGCTTTTTGAGTAAGGTGGTGGTTTTTGAAGAGTGAGGTGACATTTGGGTTACCTTCTTCAGTTGCAGTGGTAGATGGAAAAGCTCCCATTTTACCATCCTTAGCATTCTCGCAAACCTCCAACAGCTCTGCTTTACTCTCGCTTTAGTGTTCCCGACTGTCTACCTGTCTGATTGTCTTCTACACAAAGTCACCTGAAGTGGATGTCTGCTGATGTATCTATTTCAGTGGACTTGTCATACAGTCTTACCTGTTGGAATTTTTTGTTGTGTTCTGTGCCTGTGTGGGGAGGGGCATCAGTATCAGCAGCTCCTGCAGAACAGATTTTTGGACTGTCTGTTTTCAAAATGAGGTGTTGTAACAAGCAGGACAACCATGCTTCTGCCTCTTTGAGCGTCTGATACAACAGTAGATGCTGGTTCAGTAACTTTGGTTCCTATCACTACCAGACACTAGAGCTGTTTGTTTTGCTTGTTTCTTACTTATGATTTTAGTGTATCCATCAGATACCTTATTTGGTCTTTCTTCATGTGTGGTAGCACCTGTACAAAAGTACAATAACTGGAAAGGAGATATTTTGTTGTATTAAGAGGAGATTGAATTACGTTTTATCCGGCTAAGAAAAGAATCACTCCCTGAACTCCAAAAAATGGTTATTTAGTGCTTGTTCAGTAGGCGTCTTAACATGTTTAAAGCTCCTGCTGCTCTTCAGAGCAGTGATAAAATGCCTTCAACTGATGCAGTCAGATCAAGCATGTGAAATACAGCACCCTTAAAAAACACAAAAGCTGCTTATGGATGTGTTTATATGAAGTGTAATAAGTCCCATACCGTTTGCACACCTTGGCACAAGTACCGAGGTCATTTATGGCATACTTTAATTCAGTCCCCACCCAATGTCTTAATAAGCCAGCTGGGAGGTAGTGAGACTAATGCGGAAAACTCCGAAGTTGCCAGTGGGATACCAATTGTCTGCTTTGTAGCAGCTCTTTGGAAAGCTAGAAATAAATGCCTTGAAGTGGTGGGATTTACTGAAGCGTGGGGACGGAGGGGTATGAATTGTGTTTACAGATGAACGAGTAAAATGCATCTGAATTGTGGAAGAGCTTACAATAAAAGTAGTGATATCCATCCTGGCTGCTTTGCAGCTTGTGATAATTGCTCCCAGTTGCAACGATATTTCATTAAACAAAATACAATTCTTGTATAGGAGAGCAAACCAGCAAGAATTCTAATAAACAGTTACATTTGGGGTGACTTTCTACACAAAATAGCTGGATGAGTATTCTTCCATAGATGAGTGGGATATTTCACAGCCTGTAGTACAGTGATAGAAATTCAGGTATGTAATATTTTTGTCATTGCTGTTTAGATTAATTCAAGATTTCTATTCTCTCTTTCTTCCCTTACATCTAGCAAAACTGTACAATCTAAAGTGGACTGCATTTTGGTAAGTACAACTCCAGAATGCTTTTTAATATTTAATAAACTGCAAGACCAAAATAGATGGCTCTGGAGACTGACAGCTGTTATGAAGCCTTTCCTTAGCAGTGCTTTAAGGTACTACTGCTAACTGTGATCAAAATTAGTTCGCATTGCCAAAAAAATACATGGGTTTGATGTTTGTTTTCCATGGAAGTATTGACCTCTCGTTGCCAGCAGCAAGTGGCTATGATCACCACTTGTAGAACTGCCAGCCTACATGCAGCACAGAAGAGTGACTTACTGCTTTTGTAAGCATGCTTTTATGAAATGCAAGGTATTGCACAGGTCAGAGGATGCAAGAATCTAATTGTGCCTTCAAGTTCCGTTGCTCTTTAGGCCCTTAATGACAATGATTATTGCTTTTGTTGTTGTTCTCTTGAAATAGTTCGTGGCTGGTACTAAATTTTAAGGAAGGAACTAGATCGAACTGCATGTTTGTACAAAACCTGGGAGACTAATGTCCTGGTCTGTCAGAATCTTGCAGGTGCTGTTAATTATCAGATAGTTTTTTTTTTTTGTTTGGTGGTTGGGGTTTTTTTTTGTTTGGGGTTTTGGGTTTTTTTGGTTTGGGTTTTTTTGTTTTTTTTTTTTTGATCTTGCAAATCTCAAAAGTTGCACGCCATCAGAGGTACCTTCCCAGAAATGTCTAACGCTACAGGTCCTGTTAGCTCTGCTGCACTACTTAGGACACAGCGATACATAATTTTTTGAAGAAGGAAAGCCCTTGAAATGCACAAGCATAATCTTCCTTTGTGCATTGAAATAACAGGATCTAGAGAGTGATAAGAGATTATTTCTGGGAAGCAAGTATCTAGCACTAACTCAGAAAGAGGTTTTATTTTTTTGGTTTTAATAGTGAGCAGGTTGGAGTTTCTTTAAATCAGAGTCTTAAGGCTGGAAGGGACTGCTTATTCTGACTTTCTACCTTCGGCATTTCATCCAGAAGTACCAGCGGGTAAGATAAAAAGGTGACATAGACAACCATCTGGATGCTATCAGATAGAATCTGTTCAGCTGTATGGCTGAGCTAAATAAGAGTACTCCTTGAAGTCACATTATCAAAGGCTAATTCAAATGGCACCAAACACTTTCCTTAAAATGTTGTCTTTACTTATTGTGGTAAGAGGTTTAAAGTAAGCTGTGTTGTTGTGTTGCAAACCAACTTTGAACCTAATTTTGCCTATGCTTAAAAATTCTTGGATGCATCCGACTAAAATAGAGATACAAAATATGATTTTTCTCCACTTTATTCCTCACTGACGTTTGTGGACACAAAGCGGGTGTCTTAAGATGTTATTTTTGTGTGTGTGTGTGTGTCTTCACTGGCAAAAGGACATGTTGCAAAATTGCACTTGTAAAACTCTTTTTAACACCAGGTTTTTCTGTGATGAAAAATGGGAGGTGGGGTAGGTGTTCCCAAGTAGTATCAGAGAGGGAGTAAGTAAGTAGGAGGTTAACGGGTCATCTGCTTCTTGGAAATCCATTTTAAGAAAACGGAATTACACTGGGACTGTTCTCGCGTTAAATGCTGCAGATCTGTGGACCTGGGGTGCTGAGGTGTAGGGATTATCAGCTCGTGTGAGCCCGTTCAGTTGTGTAGGTCTCATCCGTTGGATGGACAAGCTATTTCTCTGAATAGTGCCCTTGGACACAAAGCTGTCTCTGTAGCTTGACTTGGAACAGAGCAGTACTGTCTTGATGGTCTGTTTTTCTGTCCAGATGCCTCCTTGTCTGTCCCGCTGATGTGTTCAGAGGAGTCCTGTCACCAGTGGAAGGGCCACTCTAGGTTAGCAAAGGTCGATCTAATGGTGTTCAGGTAGCTTAAAAAAGGAAAATCCAAGATCAGAATAGTGTCAGGAAATAAAAATGAAGCTAAATTCAGGCATTTTTACATGCTTTTGGAAAGCTGTTTGCTGCAAGCCAGAATGTAAAAGTACATTAAACTAAAAGGCCGTGACTCTGTAGCTCTAACTTGTTCGGAGCTTCCTTGGAGCCTTGTCCAGTGTTGTCCTGCGCAAGGTAGATGAGCAGGTTGCCCCTTTGGTGGAATGTGTACACGGTTTGTCAGAGCAGTCCTATGGTGGGGTACCAGCTACCTGCAGAGAGTCCAACTCCAGGCTAATAGGCAGGTCAGAACATTTCCTTTAAGGGCACCTTCTTACCTGTTTGGTTCGGTTAGAAACCATTGCAGAGCCTTTGCATCAGTCTCATGAAGCATAAAGAGACACTGTCTGACCCTTCTCTCTCTCCTTACTGTAAGGAGGAGATTTGAGACTAGCTCTCAGTTATATTGGGAGGTGCTGATGATACCTTAAAGCATTTAAACTTGATCGGTTTGCTAGCAGTCTTACAAGAAAAAACACCAGTAGAGAAAAATCAGACTGCACTTGTTGCCATTTGTGTTTAGTAGCACCAGTCCCAGCTGCAGTGCACGGAGCTGCTCACAAATGCTCTTTAGCACATAGACTGCCTGGTCAGCACAGGGTAGCAAGAGAGAGAAATCAGAGGAAGAAACAGAGGTGATGGCAGTAGTTTTTGTTTTTGTTGTGGAGGCAGCCAGCTAGCTAGCAGCAGAGGACTGTGGCAAACAGCTAGAGTAAGGGCACTGGGACTGCAGTTACTCCTACAAGAGACCAGTTATCTGCCTTTTACCGGTCATACCACAGCACTTACATTCTGACATACTGGCAGGTTCTGGAAGATCATAAGAAAATCATTGTGTGCTGTGCAATCCAAAAAAGATAATTAGCGAGAATTGTGGTGTAAACAGCCATTAAAAATTCATTATAACAGCTTTTTAACTGTAGTAGACATGTCGAGCAGTAGATTCTCTTATGACTTCATTTGTTATATTTGTTGCCACATACTAAGTGAACTCTTGAACCTGATTTTTAAAATGGTATGTGTGCTCCATAGAATCACTCAGCAAGAGGGCTAAGATTTCTTTCCTTAGTCCTAGGAAAACAGGTTAGTGCTGGTGAGAGAGTGTTGGGTTGAAGGCCCTGAAAACCAGAGCTGCTGATGGCCGGAGCAGTTACAGTGCGGGCAGCAGCAGTGTGTAAGATCTGTTGAAGCAACGTGCTTTGGTCCTGCTGCGGAGAAGGTTGTAGCTTGTCAATTGTCTGTTTGGCCCTGCAGGAGACAGGCAGAAGCTCTATGAAGCTTTGGCAGCTGTGCTTAGGCACTGTCAGTACAAAGCTGCCATGTGTTTTTAGGGCTTGTTTGGAATATTTAGCACCTGAAATATGTTTCCGCTTCTGTTCAGATAAAACGTATCAGATGTGTTTATTACCAGCTTTTTAGAATAGTAGGTTCTGTTTCAAGTATTAGCTATTTTCTGTCTTGATCATATTTCCAACAAACGATCTGACCTTGAGCAAATTTAACCTTTGCTTCTTGTTTCTCTGTTCATAAAGTGGGAAGGTGATTGCTGGACCACTTTGCTATTCTTAGTCTGGCTGTTAAATAATAGATGTTTGTTCAGCTGAAGTATGACAAGGTTTAGAACTGGTATGCCGGTAGGTGCAAGTTACATTGCCATTGGCATAGCCTTTTCTTATTTCAATTATAGTGATCTATAAATACTCAAAATGGGGAAAGACATCTTAAGATCAGTCCATGCTCTCTAAAATAGTACTTGCAAAAAGCTTGCAGCAGTGCCCCTGCCCTTCAGCTCCTCTTCACCAGAACTCGAGGACAGAAATAACCTGTAATTCTGCCTTCGTTGTGGACATATGAAATAGTTCAAATTTGAATGCCCTTTTTCACCGCGTTCATTGTGACAGAAGTTGCGACTGATAATTGTTCGTTGGTATGTTCTTCCTCTCTCTTATGTAAAGTTTGGCCTGACAAAATATTTTCTTCTTTAAAACAATCCAGAAAAAGCACATTCCCTGGAGTTTTCCCATGGTAATCCCTTTTGACAGCTTCAGGATGAAATTTTTTCACTAACGTTTGTGACCTGATGGTAGATCAGCAGACAGAGAAAACCAGATAGAGAGAACCAATCCACCGAGGTCAGGAAACCTTAAACGATATCCTGTGATTCTGGAGACTCACGTTCAAATGTCTAGGTTCTCTGGTTCAAGCAGGAACTGGAATAAACTCATGTTCTCTGGTTCAAGCAGGAACACGAATAAACTCATGTTTCCTCTAACACAAATTAAGTCCTTAACCACATTCTGTGTTGGACTGATCTTTGTCTCCGTGCTGCAAAAAGTTTCAGTGTCTAGTTGGTATCTCAGAATGAAACCAGATGTCAAAACCTGCTATTTCCATTTAAAAAACAAACAAACAAAAACCCCACAAAACAACAAAACACAACGTTTTGGCCTCCTGGTTTTTTTCACAGGTGTTTATTTGCTCCATCAAAACTCCTGTTAGAAGGAAAAAAAAAAGTTGCATCTGTTCCTGAGAGATCCTTGTTATGTGTCTGCCTTGGGCAGTGAAAGGGCAGATTCAGTTGGAGCAGATCTCCGTGGCTGCTGATAACAAGTATAAATGGATCTCTGGTTTCATTTGTTTGCTACGTATTTTGTCATTTCTTTAGCGAACTGTCTATATTTGGTAACTGTCAAAACAAAAATATCAGAGATTTCTGCTTCTTTATATGTTAGTAAAAGTCTTTGCTGAGCTGTGACGAGATTTCTAATTCTTTGTCCCTAGTTTTTCTGTCTCAGAATATAAGATGACTCAGATATTTTGAGTATTTGATGTATTTTTTTTGGCTAAATTGAAGCAAAGTTTTGAAGAGAAATGTGAACACTTCTTGCTCCCCATTTTTGTTGAGTCTTCCTTGATTTAATATGGTTCCAATTACAGGAGGTAAATACAACATACGAAGACTAAGAGTAACAGGGGCGGTGCTTCGTGATGGCGTTACACCTCAGCCCTGCACGCAGTTTAGCATGCTTATGCGTTTTTCTAATGCAGCTTCGTTAGCTGTTTATAAGTAACCTTTGGAGAATTAGACAGTCTTTGTCTGAGTGGATATAACCAGTCAATCAAGGTCAGGAAACTTCAAGCAAAATTTTCACTTAGATCCTTTTAAATAATGGAAAGGGATTCCCCAGGCATTTTACATTCTGCAGGGGTTTTAAAACTACTGTAGCATAAGCTTTAACAAGCTGCACAAAGCGGAGTTTGTCCAAGATGATGCCAGCATCACAGCCTGCCGTTTGATGCTGTGACTCTCTTCCACCCTATTGACCTATTTTTTCTACACTATTGACCTATTTGAAGGGTAGTGGCGGGGAGCATTTATAGTATATGTTGTGTTCTTATTTCTTTGGTCGGTACTCAGTAGGCCAGCTGAAATATTCCTTCACTTCCTCAAATTCTTGCCTGATTGCATTAAAAAATTGGAAAGTTTAGATACTTTGAAGAGTGCAGTAATGGCTATTACTGAATTCACCAGACCTTTAGCACTGAGAACTGGTGGATGTCAGCTGAGGCTGAAGAAGAGATTGTACTTACCGAGGCTGTAAACCAAGTTTTGAGAGTTTTGGAAATGTTTAAGGGCAACAGCCTAAACAAAGCACAATGCTTAACAAGTTTTAAAACTAAACAAAACATGATGTTTCCTGAATCTGCTTGCGCTGCCTGTCATACTCCATCTCTTTGCTGCCACTTCTTCAGTTTTAAGATGATTTTCTCTAAATAGATTCAGTCCCGTCTAATAAGCTTAGGTTTATCTAATTATCACCCAGGTAGGATTACCTCTGTGAACTGCCTGTGACTCCTGGCCGCGTGTGTTTTTTTTCTCCTGTTTTCAGGAGGTCCTGCCTCCCCGGGGCTTCCCCCCAGCCACCTCTGGAAGCTGGAGGAGTTGTGCAGAAAGGGCTGCCTGGGGCCAGGTGTGGAGAGGAATGGGTATTGAGTGAAAACAGTGAGATAACATCACTGGCCAGCTGCTTCTGCTGAGAATGTGAGAAAGCCGTAATCCTCAGCTCTGGGGATGCAGTTTTGCTGAGGAGAGAATCACTGGATCACTTGCATCCTTTGGAAAAGGCTCTGCTAATGTAATCCCAGCCGATTTTTTTCTCTACAGACATATCGTTGGGTTTGGTGTTTTGTTTTGTTAATTAAGGGGTTTGAAGGACTATGTAGCAGAGGCTCCATGGCCCGGGCAGCGTCCTTCCACACAGCCCTTTCCTTCTGCCAGGACACAGCAGAAGTTGCATCAACTGCAATGGGCACTGAGACTACCCCAGTGTTTTTTGATGAAAGGTTTAATGTTTCTTCTAAAGCCTTACCCTTTATGTTGTACTCTGGCATGTTGGATTTCGAAATGGGAGGTTGTCTTCCACCTCAGTGTCAGTCATCAGGGTTTTTTTTTGTTGTGCCTGGGATACTTTTGCCACATGGATTAGCGCTTACCATGCAAGATAATCTCGCCCGAGCTGCGTCCATTGTTGTGCTGCTTTGGCATTTGCCATTTAAAACAAAAAGCGGCTAAATTCCTTGAAGAAAAGGAGGCCTGATAAAGAAGTGCAGTTTTTATTACATTTGTTAAATTTCTATCTTTTCATAAATAAATGATTCATTTCTGTAAATTCTTTCTTTGAAGAACGCTGATCTTTTCATTAATCGTTTTTTTTTAAAGGAAAACCCACCAGTCCAAATCCTATGATTTATGCAGGAAAGGAAGAACAGAGAATTTGACAAAATGCACCCATTAAGAAATACCTCTCTGGATATTTGGTAGTCTGAGCACCACTGCTGTGTAAGCTGCTGTAGAGCCATGCAGAAATCAGTGTCAGCAATTTTTAGGAGTTCGTCAGAGGAGAAAAAAACCCAACCAAATGTTGTGGTTTGCTGCAGCTTATAAAAGCAACAAATCCCGTGTCTATTACCTGGCTGCTGCTGGAAGTGTTTCTCTTGGCTCTGAGAACATCTGTCGCATCGCTGGTGGCCCAGTTCTGCGGAGCAGTTTTGCGGTGGGTCTAGACAGCGGGGATTAGCGAACCCCCACGCTCTCCCAGTGCCCTTCCCCGCTGGCGTGTCCCGCCAGCCCTTGCCTGGAGCCTGGGGTCGGGGAGGGGACCTGTGCGTGGGGTGCAAAGCCAGTGGGGGGAAGCGGGAGCTCGCCTGTCTCTTGTGCTGCTGTTAATTTTGTGGCAGCTGAAGCGAGGTAGGTCTGGACATGGAGAGAACCCTAGTCCGAAGTGAAGTTTGGGGTTTTCCACTCTCTGTTGTTCTTACTGCTGAAGTAAACAGCTGGGTGTCGCTACCTGTCAGTCCCGCTCTCTTCTTTTCTCTTCCTTTTGGGAAAGGTTACGTTGGCAGTAAGACACCAGTAAAGGAAAAGAGAATTAACTGTAATCCAAAAGCTGTATTCTGACTTAAAAAGGGATCATGTGAGTCTCAGACTCTACTGATGGTGCACCACCTTGTGCATTGCTTCGGCGGCATCTTCTGAAGGAGAAGCCGTTTGCTTCTTGCTGCCTGGCTTTGCTCACACTGCTGCTGCGCAGGCCTGAGCACGTCACCGCAGCTGGTTTTCCTGGTATTTCTAAGTCCATGTAGCTGGTTTCTGGTGACCAAAAGCTGTTTGTATGTAGCAACCACTGTTTGTGTGCAGCGGGTAAAACTCCCCCTTGTGTCTGATCCTCAGGAGGAGGAGTCCAGCGTCAGTGAGATTCATGTTAACTGTTGTCTTCAGGTACCTGTTCAATAACTCTCATTTCCAAAGGAAAGAAAAAAATATGTACGTGTATAGATCAATTTTAAAATTTCTTCACTGAAGTCTGTGACACTTAACTATTAATATCTGGTGGGTCACAGGATCAGGTCTGACGTCCTGCGTTGTTACGGCATAGCTGGGTTTTGGTACCACCTTCTCAGAGGTGCTTCACCTGTGCTCTGAGGAGGTAAATTCTTCATGTTACGTGTCCAGTTGTAGCTGTGATGCTATTGACATTTTTCCAGATTCTGCTTTTGTTGCATGTGAATTTTGTAGCTGTGACACGCGCTTTCTAATGTGTGATGGTGCGCAAATAAAATAGAAAATCAGATTTCCAGTCCCAGAGTGCTCACAGTCACAACCTTTCACATAAGTAAATATTTTCTTTTTTAAAAATATGTTATTTAGGAATACACTGACGGATGACAGTTTTTAGCTGTCAAGCTCAACTCTTACTGTTTGCTTTTTCTCTCCCTGTCTCCCCCCACCCTTTTTTTTTTTTTTTTTTTTTTTAACCAAAACACCTTTGTTATCTAGCAAGAAGTTGAGAAGTTTACAGATCTAGAGAAACTCTACCTCTACCTTCAGCTGCCTTCGGGTCCCAACAATGGAGACAAAAGGTATGTGTGTGTGTGTAAATGTGAGCAGGTGGTACTGAAAATTTTCTTAAGTTGCTGTGGCGCTGATCTGCGGAGGAACCATTCACATGATGTGTTTGGTAGCAGAAGCAGCCTTTATTAAGGACTCTGCTTTTCGTGAAGATTTTTTTTTGGTTTTGGTTTGGAATCTTTAGTGCATGAATAGCTTGTAAATACAAACGTCCTAAAATGCAAGAGGCATCAGAGAAAGTGTTTTGCAGCCTAAATGTAATCATTCCTTTGCTTTTTATGTAGGAAGTGATAATATAGCAACACAAATGTGATGGTGGGAGAAAGAAGGAACTAATGGTATTTCTGTTAACGTTTGTTTGACTAAAGGAAGGTCTAGAAAACCAACCTGCACGTGACAACATCACAAAATTGAGTGTATGTTCCCAGTAGGATGGTTATTGGCAGGCAGGTGTCTATAGGAGGCACTCTGAGTATCTTCTGTGAAAGTTGGGTGTTTCCAAAGGGCAGCTGGCAAACTGGGTGAGCAGAAGCTTAGAGGTGGTCAGTAAGAAACCATAAATCTAAGAGGGGGAAGTAGGTGAACTCACACCCATAACTGTCTGCTTGCAGTTGTATCAGTCAAGAGCTGGAGTGTGGAGCCTCTGTTAAATTGTGATTGAAAGAGGGAGATAACTGCTGCCTGTGCCTCAAGGAATAGCTAAACGTGTGAGGTACTGGCCCTTACTGTGTCTGGTGCCTCTGCACCTGTGTAGGCAGACAGTTACCAAGTGTTGTAACTGAGGAGGAGCCACGAAGCGAAGACTTCATTGGCACTGCTTCTTCTTTTGCTAGCGATCAGATCTCCATGTCGTCCAGCCGTGCCCAGCAGATGCACGCCTTCTCGTGGATACGGAACACCTTGGAAGAGCACCCCGAGACATCCCTGCCCAAGCAAGAGGTTTATGATGAATACAAGTGAGTGTTCCCCAGCTGGATCCGTACATACGGATTTAGCGAGCTTAGATAGTTCTGTGACACTCTCTGCGCGGGTACTCCACCGAGGTACAGGTGCTTATAGCAGCACAAGGCTCTGTATACTAATGTTCCTGAGAATGTATTAGCTGCAGTGAGGCAAACTGTATTCATTGCTTCTGCCACTGAAGGTAAGACTGTGATGTTTAAATTGTGCATTACACATGTTGAAGGAAAGGTACGCGCATTTCTTAGTAAGTAAATATCTGTATGAATATTGCTTTGGTTTGGTGGTCAGAGCGGCACAGGTAAAAAGCACCAGTTACTGTCTTACAGTACGTTTTGGGCTGCTTGTGTATGCATACGTGTATGACTGCCTTAACCAGGATGAGGGCTTGAATTGTTCCTCCTGGAAATGCAGCTATTTTGCACATCAGCTCTAGCCCATCACATCTTTCTTTGCAGAATAACGCATAAATGTCGGACTTTCCTGCAGTAAACCTGATTTCTACAGAGGCACAATATATCTGCATATGTATGAAACCAGTAACCAAGGCCACTGTGAGTCTGTGTTGTCACGTCTCAAAGCTACCATGTAACGAGAAAGCGATTAGAAGCCATGGAGAGGGAGCTGTCTGATGGAAGTTGGATTTGAATTCATTTACAGAACATTCCCCACGGGGTGGGGGGAGGAATAATCATCCTCAGCCCAGTTGCCTAAAGATGAATAACAGATTTATGATCTAGTATGAATATTTCCATAATCTGAACGATTACAGTAATTTGCAGTGAACTGAATCCCTTCACTTCCTAAGTGCCTACAGGATTCAGCCCTTAGTAATTGTTATTGCAGGGTTGCCTTCTGCAAATACCTCCTTTTAATTCACTCTCTCTAGTCAAGTTTTTTACTCTGAGCTGAAACATGATGGCATTCGCTTGCCTGGGGTTGATAAACATGCACACACCTATTCCTGAGATCTCGCCATCGACTGGAGCGGTGACGCAGCCTGGAAATGGAGCCAATGGCACCGGCGTGCTGGGGTGGCCAATCCCCGAGCAGCAGCCGCTCGCGCAGACACAGCAACAGCGGCAGCTGCTGTGCGGGAGAGAGAGGGAAGCGTTGTTCTTAAATATATTTCTTATTAAATAATTTATGGCCTGCTTCAGCAACAAATCTGCTTGGCTTCCATGCTGTGCCAAGCTGCAGATGCCCAGAAAAATCATCATCTACAGATTGTGGAGTGTGAAATTTGGATGGCTTTTGTGTATAGCTGCATCAAATATTTGTGTATTGTATTTTTTTTCCTTACAAAATGAGGGTGGCAAGCAAATATTCAGTAAATTATGAAATGTTTGGAATCTGTTCTCCTCTGAAAGCATCTGTTCTGTTTTTAAAACATTCAGTTTCTTTGAATATTTTCATTAGTTATTCTTGCACACCAGAGGAAAAGTAGTCTTGGAGTGGGAGGTGGGGAATACGCATATAAATAGATTAGAGAGTTAGTTTTGATAAGTCATTTTTCTTTACCTAAGGATGTTAAGACTTCTCAAAACTCACTTCTGTCAGATTAACAAGTTACCATTTCCCTCCTCTGTATGCAAAGGTAGATGTTGCATGAGCTTACAGCAAGCAAGCTTCTGGGCTCTGCACGTATAAATCAAAGTTACAGGGCTTCAGAAGAGTGCTGCGTCATACCAGCATCTCAATTCCTAAAAAAAGTCAAAATAAATCTTGCGAAACTACTGGGCTTCTGCATCACCTTTCATGTGTTTTTTTTTTCTATGAAGGGGGAAGGACAGGAGCTTGAGCTCCACCCAAGTCCATCATTGGCAAGTGTTGATAGTGTTTCCAGCTCCTTCACATTTCAGTATCCTCTTCTCGCTGAGCTTGTTCAATGCAGTGATCGTCTGTTTTCTTACTCTTCTATTTAGTTGTGATTTCACTTCTCTAACTGGATAAAAGTGAATGGATTCATCTCCCTTTTGAAAGGGATAAAATAAATGAAAAATGCATCATAATATACGTCAGTAGCACTTGGGAAGGTTGAGAGCTTGCAGCTGAATTTCAGCAAGGGGGGTAGATGAGAGCTGGTTCACCTCTCGTTGGTGCTGGGATGCCACTTGCACTGACAGAATATGTTGGGCTGCAAGAAGCTGAGTTTGTTGGGCACACAGAGTTCTGCCAGCTGCCTCTGGGAGTTACAGGGGAATACAGTCTGGAAAATATTGTGGGAACTCACGGGGAGCTGCCTAACATGTTACCTAGCCTGCAGAGGATGGATGCTGCTTCCCATCAAATCCTTTCAATGTTGCCTTGTAAATCAGTTCTACTTGCGCATCTTCTCCCTATTAGTAAATGCCCTTCTGGAGGCAGCCAGGTGTAGATTTAGCTGAGTTTACAGAATTGGGATTTCAAGTCTTGAGTGCAGTCCTGCAGTACTTTTGCAGACAAAATCCCTGTTTGCCCACAAAATGATTTGTTGAGCCTTCAGTGAACACTTGGGTCCTCTTACCTTGCTTCCACTGCAGTGACACAAGGCAAGAAAGCCATTCATATTTAAATTCGGAGCCCTGAAGATTCACTTGATACGCTTAATACGGATTAGGAGGTCTTTGAGTCATCCTGTATCTCTTCCCTTTAGTCTGTATATCGTTAATCCATCCTTTACTGGCTGCTGGGCCACTTGGTGCCACCGGACGCATAGATTATGTGTGCTAAGTGTTAAGAATGCTAACCAACAAGTCGAAAGAATATTCAAAAGCTAGCACAGCAAAGGGCAGTAGGTATAGGAATACCCCACCTGTTAAACACATAGAAGACACAAGATACATACTAATCTTATTTGATAGCACTTAACCAGTGGTTTTATCTAAAACTCCCTGATGGGAACAGGATGGGACCTATTCTGTTGTAAAGTCCGGTCCTCTGTCATAAGCAGCTACCTATATATTCCTCCTAAAAGCTGATCAAACTCCATCTGAAGCAGTTGTTTCCCACCTCTGCTGCTGCTTCTGGGAGTCTGACCTGCCACTTCATTTCTCTCATGGTTTTCAGATATCCGGTTTCCATCCTACTTGATTTTTGGGACTCATTTCTGTGCCAGCATTGTTCATCAGCTTAATGAGAGCCTACCTCTTCCTAAGGTTCTTTGTTCTAACCCGTTTTTAGAGACCAGTTGTTTTACTGGATTGGCTAAGCCAAGTTCCTTGTTTCGTTTCATGCGATAGGTTCTTTCTCATTTGCTGTTTGTAGGGTTTTTCTGCCCAGGAGGCAGTGTAAGCTGGGCTGCGTAGCCTGACTGTCTTCATTGGCTTTTTGGTTAATCTTTTTTTTTTGTGGTTTAGTTCAGGTGCACTCACAGTGTATTTTGTGTCTTGAGTATATTTAATTTGAAGATCTTAAAGAGAGAGAGAGAGAGAGAGAGAGAGAGAAAGGGCCTTTCGTGTGTGTGTGTGTAAGGGAGCTCCGTACAAAGGAACGCAATCAACCGCGTGTCCATTGTCATTCCTGTCTCTCCATAGACCTTCCCTGCCCCCATCTGTTTCCCACCCACCCTTCAGATAAGCAAAACAGCTCCTGGGCTCAGCGATGTGCCAAGAGTGCAAGTAGCAGAGAGAAGAGCTTCAGGGAAGAGACTCCTGGTATGTATTGTCAAGTCAATGAGAGACCACAGATGGATGTGGAGGGTTCTCGGCCAAGCCAGGAGGAGGAGGGGCCATATGGGATGATCTGTCTGAAAACTGAAATTACATGAAAATAATAATAGCTCAGAAATCACAAGCTTGCAGGAGCTGCCAGGATGGTTACGAGGGGACCACGTAACTATGTTTTGCTGCTAGCAAGTAATTGTATTGAAACGGATGTGCTAGACTTAAGGCATGGATTCTTTTTTTTCCCCTTTGTTATTTATTTATTTTCCCCTAGGGAGGGAATAATTTTAACTTTAAATTGGTTGGTAGGTCCCTAATCCTGTTGTTTTGCTGTGTTATTTTTTTCTATTTTGTTTTGCTGACATTGCTGAGTTTCAGTCAGAGATACTGCTGACTGGCAGAGAAATTCAGGGAGCCGTCGTTTTCATGCTAGTTGAGACTTGTCCTGTAATCAGCATCAGTAAGCAACAAAGACCCACTTTTTAGGAATTTTCGGAGTGAAGTTAAAATCCATTGGCGCCTGGCAAGATGCAAGTGAAAGAAAATGGCAGAGATCCATGATGTGTAGAGCAAGGTCTGGTTCCTAAGAGGGTGCAGCGAGGCAGGAGAAGTATTCCTTTGTGTTAACTTCAAAGGGACATATCCAGGATGCATATCCGGATTCTGTGACTGACACGCATTGAAATGAAATATCTTGGCATATAGATGGGATAGAAACCTTGATATCCCATACAGAAACTAGACTGATGGCTGACTGTATACCAGGTTGTAGGCAACACCTCCTGGTTTGGACAGAGTGGCCTGGTAGCTGGGTGAAGTGAGCACACCAACTCTTCAGGGAAATGTCAGAACCAAAGAGCACCAATCTCGCTGCTTGCCGTCAAAGTCATTACATTTGTGGTAGTGCTTTCCAAGCGGAGGATACCTAGCCACTGGCAAGGTAAAGGCAGCAGGTACTTGCTCTGTAGTGACTCGTCTTTTTACAGAGGAAATAAATGCAGTGGCAGTATCTCAAGAAACACGTACTGCTTCCTATAGGGCTGCAGTTTTCAGAGAAGACATTTTGACTGGCCTACTTGGATGCAAATGCCATTTGTAACGGTTACTGGTTTTACTAGGTGATGCTGGGAATTAAACATCTGTTTTGAGAGTGCTGCTTTTTTTTTTTCTTTTGTCCTTTAATGAGCAGAGATTTGTTTGCCTGTATGTACCTGATTAGAGTAGCAGGCAACGTGGTGTATGAAGTTACTGTTTTTCTGCTTTTCTGCTGGTGCCTACACAGGATCGTGTACAGTCACCTCTTCTCAGGGGCAGGTTGGTTTTGTGTGTTGTTGGTAGGACTTCTCATGGGAAAGGAGGTCATTGCTATCTGGTGCTGACTGAAATTCAGATGGTGGGAAATCTGCATGGGAGTGCTTGAACAGTATGGTTTGGGCCTTAGCATGGTAATGTCTGTGAAGTACCACAAGACTCCTGAACAAAGGACTATGTGGCATTTGTATCATTGAGCGGCCTTAAGCCCTTGCTGTGTAGGTGAACCTTCCAGAGCAGTTCCCAGTTTTCTCCTCTGCTTTCACATGTTTGTGGTTTTCCAGAACATTCACGTTTTGCAGCGAAATGAATGATTCTTGTTCTCTGCCTCAAATATCTCAGATGTTGAAACATCTGAATAGATGTCGAAACAAAATTCCTTCTGGTGTTTTTGAGACTGAAGATGGATAACAGTGCCCATTTTACTAGATGAGTCAACTTAGCAAGATAATTACCTTTTGTTGCTTTATTCCACCGTACCATCAAGCTGTATGCTCAGTCGTATGAAGATCTACATTCGCAGAGGCGGTTGAAGTCTCTGCTAATTTTGGACTGTTAATGAATATAAGGATGTCTATAATTAAGCCGCTCTCGTAGTTCAGTAGTGGTACAGCGGTGAGAGGACTGGTTCCTCAGCAGATATTTGTTACACGTGTAAAGGGGAAGCTGATTCCCTGGGAAGGTGTGCACTATTAAATTCAGTTCCGTTAAGCTCTGTTACATTGAGGGTGTGCGGGCAGCATCTTTCTCTGGACACTGACAAATCTTTTACCTACTGCTTTTCAAATATTCCTGCTGGATTTCAGGCCTTATCACACTTTAAGCTATACCTCTGGCTAGAACAATGTCCCTGCTTTTATTGCCTCCTAAAATAAGTGGATTGAAACATTCCTCAAACTAAGTTGTGGAGTAAATCTTAACTGTGCTCTAGATAATGCCACTACTTGTTATGTCTCCGCATGACTTGTCTTTGAACTCAGCAGAGAACAAGGCAAAAACTGTGGTATTAATAGCTCTGTTAATACATTTTTAATGCATTCAGTTCGTTGTGGATAGCTTCATTAATGTTAAATGTGGTTCTAAATATGGATGGTATAAGTGTTTTCTTTTGAAAACCTTTGATGGAGTCTAGCATGCAGGCTGGCCTCTTGTATTAACTTTGAATCCATTCACGCTTTCTTTCTCTTTGTTGCAGGAGCTATTGTGACAATCTTGGCTACCACCCATTAAGTGCTGCTGACTTTGGAAAGATCATGAAAAATGTCTTTCCAAATATGAAGGCCCGTCGTCTAGGCACAAGAGGCAAATCAAAATATCCTTTGCTAGAACGTTTCTCTGTAACTTCTTCTGGGTTTGCCTTGAGAACATCTGTCGTTGTGGCTTAACTACCAGCTAAATGTAGAAGTAATGTTAAATAAAAAATGCAGACACTTTCCCAACATTCTTTAAAAAATATTAATTGTGGTAGTGTTAGGTTGCAAGATACAACTTTGGAAACAAGCACTTAAATTTGGGTTCTGAAGCTGAGCTGTCTAAACAGTGAGGAGTCAAAGAAGCTTTATCATATAGTGCAAAGGGAGATAGGAGAATAAAGGAACTTGCCTTACGTGTGTGCAGTAACTAATATTTTATTGGTAGTACAGTTCAGAATAATCAGAACATTTCTTGCTTTAATATTATACTTGTGCACACCAGTAATTTAAAAGTTAGTTAAAAAGCCCGAGATCCTTCTTAGGCTGTGGTACAGATGTCTCATAAAACTGCCTCTCCTCAACCATTAGTATTGCATGAAAGAGAAGAGGGAAGAGGGAAGTCATCGCAAAAGCTGACTTCAGACTTGGAAGGCACGATCTGAGCCTCGTCCCGCCGTCGGAGAGGAGAGACGGCTTCCTTCACCGTACGGCGCAGACCTGAGACAGGAAACGCCGTTAGGAGCAAGAGTCACTAGGGTGGGGAGCGCTGTCTGCCTCTTGGCTGCAGAGTCTTGTTCCCTATGCCCAAAGCTGGAATCTGCCTCCTTCTCTTCTTCCCTGTGTTGGAGAAACAGTCCCTCGCAGAGGGAGTGCAAAAACACTGCCCCTTTAACTGTAACTTAATACAAACCCTTAAAAACCTGGTGTTGCCGTAGTGTGAGTAGACATCATTGCTACAGGCAGAGTGATACACAGATCTTGTGACAGATTTGTTTGTCAGTTAATAGACAGACACTGTGAAGAATTCAGGGCAAATGCTGAGCAAAAGAGCCTGCTCGTACCCCTAGTGCTGCTGCTGCTTCAGTGTAGGGGCGAGAACCTCTGCTAGGAAAGAGATGCAGTAATCAAGTCTAACGGTTACAAGGATGTGAATTTTTCTCAGGGTTTTCTGAGACTGAGCTGCAGTTTGTCTGGTCTTAGCATGTTGAGGTTGCCAATGAAAATCATTAACAGTTTTTGGTTTTGAAAGCAAGTGGTTCTGTCTTTCCTAAGTGGAGAATTACACCTTCCCTTTAGAGTCCTTGGGAACCGTTGTGAAGTGACGTAATCCTTGCTGCCTGCTGCATCCCCCAGGTCAGCTCTTGCTCTGTTCTGATGAGCTGGGTAAGCGAAGCCGCTGCAGCGAGCAAGGGAGGGAGAGCATTCAAAGGCCAAAAGGCATCAAGGTGCTTGTAGGCTGTAATTAAAAACCGCTCAGAACAACTAGCAGTAATGATAGGGACACGCTGTGATACTGGCCTTTGCCAAGGTCTCGCTTGAAGCGTGCACTTACAGAGGGGATTAAATGCTAGGGGGCAGCCCAGAATTACTTGTCTTCCATAGAGGGAAAAACCTGCCATGTAGCAGTAAGTGGAGAAGTTAAGTGTCATTTAAATTGTTTCATAAAATACAGTGTTGGGTTATCTAGCAGTGGAGTCCGAAACTTAGTAGAGATGTTCTGGATAGAGCTAGAGAAGTTTTAAGGAAGAAATCACATGATGTAATGGTAGCTTGATCCAGGGGATCTCTTTCAGTTCTGTTTCCTAAGTTTCTAATTCAGAATGATTAAAACGTGACCTTAGCTCACGCTGACCTGAATACCTTGCCTCCTTACATGTATTTTACTGTAATTGTGCTCCATCCAGGTTAATGCAGGCAAAGGCAAACTCCATGGTCTAGGAAAGAGTAATGCTGTGGAGAGGAAAAAAGGCTGATTTGATTTTTAGACCTATAAACAAGTGAGTAAGAGTAATGCAAGGAGTATATTTTTGTGTACTGATTTGATGAGATCACTGTGAGAACAAATGTGGGTATTTGTGTCCATATTTTTACAGAAGAATTATCATGTGTGGGAAGAGAGCCACAAAAATTGTGTGAAATCTGAGGAAGAAATGTCCTCGTCAGTCACTTTATCTTGGTATAGGGAACTTCTTCAGTTTGTGGAAGTCCCTTAGGAGAAGGAAATGTCAGGAAATTTAGCAAAAGAGGCAAAAAAGAACCTCTCTTAATAAGGTAAAACCTAAATTTGGGAACACGTTTTTTAAATGCATTTCCAAAAGTTAGTTGCTATTTCCATCTTGTTTTAGGCCTGGGTTAGGAAGGGAGTTTAGACCAAATTGATGATGCTTTAAATGTTGAACAGCTAATTGAAACGACTCGATGTGGTTCTTCTAAGTCATCAAGTGAAATTCATCACACCCAGCATCACTTGTTCCTTTGCATAGATGGAGAAACCCAGTGACCTGCCCGAGCACACAGCCATGTATAGGCCCGTGATTCTGCCTGGCTATGAGACGACGTTAATGACAGTAACTCTTAGATCTGTTGTTGAGTTTGCCTTGTAAATCTTATGAGGGCTATCAGAGGAATTACTGCCCTTCCCTCCTATCCCCCAACTAACAAGCAGAGACGAATTAGACCTTAATTCTTGTTCACATATTGCTACAGTGGACTGAGGAAGAAGGCTTTTGTGCATATGCCAACACTGCCCAACCTTGACTTTCATAAAACTGGAGATGGGGTATGATATATACTTCCTTATTTTTATATATTTCTGCAAATTAACATTTATTGTGTTGTTTTTCTTTCTGAAATTTTCAAAACAAAGTGAAAAGCTGTGTAGCTTTTAAGTTTGGGTTTTTTTGGTTTTTTTTTTTTTGTCATGATACTTATATTCTGAATCATTGTTCCGTGTTTTTCTGTAAAGTTCAGAATGAGTTGCAGTGCTGTTAAAAAAAACTCATTTAGGAGGCGAAGCAGACTTTCACAGTGTTGCCACCCGCAAGCTGTATCTTTTTAGCTCTGATTCTGTTTTGATTTTAGTATTTTATTTTTTTAAAAAAGTCAGTGCTAGGGAAGAGGAACCCCAGTGAAAGAAGCAGTTCCTGGGTAAGTGTGGCTGCTGAGTTGACAAGACTCTGGATGCAGGAAACAATCGGTAGATTGACCTTAAGATGTTTCATTTGGAGTGATATTGATGTTATGATCTGATTCTCCCAGTTTGATGAGAAACTCTGAATATACTTACTCAACTTTGTGTATGTTTCTGATCATTATTTGCTCTCTCTTTTTATTTTCATGCCTTAATGACCCTTAATAATTAAAGTAACCTTTCCTCCTTTCTTTGTTGTAGTTGGATGGGGCAGAGCCATCTGGGCAGCTGCAGAGTGCTGATGAGGAAGTCGTCTCTGCGGCCTGCCGGCTTGTTTGTGAATGGGCCCAGAAAGTGCTGAGCCAGCCTTTTGATACAGTCCTGGAATTGGCTCGTTTCCTTGTCAAAAGTCACTATATCGGTACCAAGTCAATGGCAGCTTTAACAGTGATGGCTGGGGCACCAGCAGGTAGGTAGCTTAATGCTGTATCACTGAAATTGGGGATCTTTTTTCAAAGAGTCATAACATCTTACTTTGAGGAAGCGCTTCAGGGCAAGCTTTAAAGACTGACTCTGAGCACTCATTTACGTGATTTTAGTTCACATTGCTGCAAATTGCTTTTCATGCTGGTAGTGTGGGTCAAGAGATCTCAAAATAAGCAGTGGTCTCAGGTTTAGTCTGTGATTCTCCCATTCCTCTGATGAGGACCCTGGTCTTTAAAAGCACTTCAGGGTGTGTGAGTAATTGTGCTGAAATTATGTACTTTGCTAGATGAGGAGTTTGGTGCTGGTGCAGTGCTAGTTTGTAGACAAGCTGCTGGTGTAGTTGTGTTTCTGTCTGATAACTTGCCCTAATTTGGAAACAACTGTCTGTCTTAATTTTCTTTCAAGAGCAGACTTTCTTACAGGCAATTCTGATATGTCAGATGCAGATTTTTCTGAGATGTTTGATCAGTGTCAGGTGGCACAAGTATGTCAGCTGCTGCTGTTATTGATCACGTTAGAAATAAGGGCTTGAGGGGCATTGGGAGGGACAGGAGAGCCTTCTCCGGTGGCAGTGGTGTGACTGAGATTCCAGCACTTGATTTCAAATATTTGTTAAGGATCGAGGTAAATAGAAGAGTTATTTTGTATTTTGCTACATCAGATTAATTCCTGTTCTGTTCAGTCTCTGGGAAATCTTATGTTCAATGGGGCTGGTTGTGTTTGTTTGCCTCTTCATGCTCAAAATCAGTCACTTAATCATTTAAACAATTTTTTTCTGACTGTGGATGATGTCAATTACAAAAATGAAGGATGAAGAGGGAAGTGCAGGTGCATAACATAACTTCCCTCCCTCTGGGAAGTTCTGCCCAGGCCTGTCAAGCAAAATGTGTTTGGGTCAAGGCAAATCTCTTGACTTGAGACAGGCGATTTCCAATGGAAACCGGTGGTCAGGGCTTGTAGGTTGGGGTGATCCCTTTCTGGATCACCTTCTTTCTCCTTCCAGCTCTCTTTCCTTTGTTGCAACTTGGGACTGATGGGTGGCAGTGGCAGGTTTTGCTGCCTGTATGGTCCTTTTTTACCTGTCATTGCTTGGCTTCGTTGGTTCTGCTTGCTGTGCTGCTAGGTGTATGTATGGCTCTTCAACTCATGTAGCTTCTCCCCCTTCCTTCAAGAGGAGATGGTTTCCTTCAAGGAAAAGGACAGTTGTTTCCAGTGCTTGCCTCTGGCTTGGATAGTCCTTTCAGGAGAGGTTCTTTCTAGAATGGCAAATAAAATATTCCTATTCCTCGTTATCGCAAGGAACTACAGTGTCTCTGTGCATTAACTGATGAAAAAGCAAACTTTTACCCTCAAAAATTTGTGGAGGTTTTTTTTCCTCATAAATGTTACTTGCCTTCAGTATTCAGCCCACATAGATGAATTGTTTTCCAGTAATTGCAATGTATTTGGGCATTTCACTGCTCTGTGAAGAAGGAATTGTGAAAGTGGAGACATGATGGTGTTCAAGCTCTCATGGTACATGCAGACTGCTGCTGAGAGGGCGGGTTCCCAGACCACGGTTCCTAAGTGTGTGCTGGGTATTTAAAACCAAATACTTGCCCTAAAATAGTGTCGATTAATTTATAATTAAGAGTTATTTTTTTAAAAACTGTGAAATGTGCAAATTGTAAATGAAGCAGTGCTAAAGCATTTTTAGAGGGGCAGTCAACAGGGCTGGTTGGTCACTGAGAGAGCACACTAATCCTCTTGACTGTTAATAAACAGATCATCATAACTGTGATGGGATTTGCTAAGGGAAATTGTTACCAGCTGCAGGATGAGACTAACTCCCTGTTGTTCTCCCAGGAAGCACCACTTGCTTGCTTGTGGTCCGCAAAGACATTGTCTCCAGAAAAAAATGTTCTCCCGTTCTGATTTCCGTAGTTTTTTTTCACCTCTTGCTCTTCTTTCACGTTATCCCTGATCACATGCAGATTGTGACCCGTTCTGATGTTGGATGCTTTGTGTTTAATGCCTTGGCCATTAGATAGTGTCATCTGCTCAGAGCTTTACCTCTGTGACACAGACCCATAGCTTTCTGGAAAGGTTTTTCATTTTTAAAGCTGCCTTGGACATTGGAAACAGAAACACGGTAAATGGTGAGTTTTAAAGGTTCATCTAAACCGTATTCGCTGCCCTCTACTGTCAGTTAAATGAAATGCATTGGTTTTTATGTTTTGCTGATAGGAAAGTTGGGGTTACTAGAAACAAGATGCCAGTACATGGTATTTTAGGACCTAATACCCAGCTGGTCTAACAGATAGACTGGAAGTAAACTGAAACACTGAATAGATTTGAGCATGAAGTGGATGGGAGCACCTGGTGGAGGAGGTGTCCCCAGGACGGTTGTGGAGATGCCTGCCATGTGTTCTGTGTGGTTGGATACAGAAGCGGCCCTACAGCAGACAGGGTATGTCTGGTTATAATTAATTCTTTTTCTTTTGTATTCAGGAATAAAAGGGATCCCCCAGCCCTCAGCTTTCATACCTACTGCTGAAAGTAATTCCTTTCAGCCGCAAGTGAAAACTCTGCCATCGCCTGTTGATGCCAAGCAGCAGCTGCAGCGTAAGATCCAGAAGAAGCAGCAAGAGCAGAAACTGCAGTCTCCTTTGCCAGGAGAGTCCCCAGCAAAGAAAACGGAAGGCACTGCAACCAATGGCATGACCAGTATATCTAATGGAAGTCCTGCAATCCTGTCTCCCCCACCTATTGGCATTGTTGTGGCAGCTGTCCCCAGCCCGATACCGGTAACCTTCTCCAGCAATTCTGTAGAGAAACCACCTTATGAAAGAGTTGTGCACTGCCAGTAACTAAGCAGTGGTTTCAGTGGGACAGAAAAACTGTTTCTGTTCAAAGGCGTGGGTCCCTTGATGCGCTGCTGTCCCAATGACTCTGTTACACCACAGGAGTTGTGGGATCAATACAGAGGCAGCAGAATTCCAATCACATAGCATAGACCGAGTTTGCCTTTGAAGTTGTCAACAGTGGGATTTTAGCTAGCAGTAATTAAGGCTATATGCGGGAATAATTGCCCTTGAGATGAAGTTTAACCGGACGAGAGAACTGACAGCGATCGTGTGGGTTGCTGAGTCCCTTAGACACATTCTAAGTTGCCTTTCATTGGCATTTAGTGACAGCAACAATTTTATTTTTTGCATGAATACCTGTAGTATGGGACATCTTTGTATTTCAGCCTGACAAAACTGGGCTAGGGGGGAGGCTGTTTGTTTTTAAGATGTTAGCTGTGTTGTCGCTTTCAGTAGGTAAAAGAATTCTGCCTGATGGTGGGTTTGTATTTCACTCACTTTTGAAGCCTTAACAATGAGCAGTGTTTTGGACACATCCTCCACTCTTCAACCTTTGGATGTCTGTCTTTTTGTTCCGTTTGGTGAAAGATTGTATGAGAATAAGCCTTTCCTTAGCAGAAGAGCAGACTGGTATGTAGACCAGTGCCTCGTACCTTAAAAATTGAGGCCACGTATCTGTCTGCCTGTCCTTAGGCAGACAAACAGAAATTCTTGTATATAGTTGAAGAACTTGTTTTGTTTCAAACTGACGTTCACTGGCTTTGATTTGTTGAGCTGTGTTGTCCTTCACCTTCGAAGTAGTTGGGGACAAGGTGGTCTGTGAGCTCTGGGGACTTCCTTGCTTCATCGACACACCTTTTCTTTTTCTCTGCCTACAGGTGCCAAGGACCAGGCAGTTGGTGACGTCTCCAAGTCCTGTGGGATCATCTGAAAGCAAGGTCCTGCCGCTCAACGTTCAGGTGGTCACTCAGCACATGCAATCAGTCAAGCAGTCACCAAAGACTCCCCAGAACGTTCCCGCCAGCCCAGTTGGTGACCGCTCTGCCCGGCACCGCTACCCACAGATCTTACCGAAGCCAGCAAACACCAGTGCTCTCACCATCCGCTCTCCCACCACGGTGCTCTTCACCAGTAGCCCAATCAAGACTGTTGTGCCAGCTCCACATGTGAATTCCTTAAATGTGGTGAAAATGACAGCAATATCGCTTGCCCCAAGCAGCAGTAGTGTGCCCGTCAAACAGACGCCGTCAGTTAGCGGTAGTGCAGGAGTAGTGGAAGAGGGGAGGACTGGTCCACAGATCAAAAATGGATCTGTTGTTTCACTTCAGTCTCCAGGATCCAAGCCTAGCACTGTTGTAGCTGCGCCTGCGGTCAAGATCAAAATGGAACCAGAAACGTTGCTGGATGAGAACTCAGTACAGGGCCAGGAGAGCTCTGATGTGTCTAAATCCATGAAGGCAACCCCTGACCTGCCTCCTGCTCAGCTAATTAATTTTGAGGTTGCAACCTTGAAGGTTTCAGCAGATGATGTTGTGGAGGCAAAACCAGTTAAGGGCTGTGATCAGGGAGCTGAAGAAACAGGGACCAAATATAAAACACAGTCTAATGAGATCACACCAGTTTCTTCAGCTGGCAATAATCAAAGCACTCTGCAGCTCTCAGTTGCCAGTCAAAACTTGTCCAGCACCAGCATCGGTTCACCTCCTACTGGTGAGTCTACGATTAAAGACAAAACGTGCACTAAAAGTCCAAGAAAGCGACAACCTTCTACACTTCAGGATTCCCAGGTACCGCCTGTAAAGAAACCACTGGTGGAGCAGCTTTCAGCTGGTAATACTGTGGAGGGTCAAAAAGCGAATGGTGTTAAGAAGTCTCCAAAGGTTGGATCCTTAGCTAACAGTGACAATACAGCAACACTTGCTCAAGTTCCCAGCAAGGTACCTGCAAAGCTACCTGTACCTTCTGCAGCTGCAGCAAACTTAGCAACAGACCTTTCTTTGAGCACCAGTTTAAATACCAGTGATTCTACTTTGGGACAGCAGCTTGCGTCAGCATCATCTCCAGATATAAAAGTAAAATTGGAAGGAAACATGTTTATCATAGAAAATGATTCAAAGTCTGATGGCAGCTTTAACCCAAATACGTGGCACCATATCACCAAAACCTCTGACTTTGCATCTGTGAATTGTGAACAGCAGCAAGATATCAGTGTTCTGACTCTCACAGGGCATGCTGGCTCTAGCGACTTGCAGGAATCGGCATGGGAGCCGGTGCACTGCGAAGGTCTCCAGCAGGACGCGTACAGCCAGCAGTTGCCGAGCCAGATCCAGGACTCCTCCCTGGGTCAGATACAAGCACAGTCTTCAAACCCATTACCTCTGCAGTCCGAACTGAAGGAGTTTGAACACACAGTCCCTCAGTCCAGCGAAAACTTCTTTTCGTTTGATGACGACCTTACCCAGGACAGCATTGTGGAGGAGCTGGTGCTCATGGAGGAGCAAATGTCCATGAATAATTCTCATCCTTACGGTGGCTGTCTCGGAATGGCGCTTCAGAGTCAGACTGCGGCTCAAGGAGCTCCCGTGTCGTCTCATCCAAGCAGCGTGCACTTTTACCATTCGATCCACAACAACAGCACTCCGATT